AGGAAATAGAGTTGAAAGTGTTGCCTCTTCTAGTGACCCCAAACCTTTCATTTGTTGGAAATGCAATCAGCCCAATCATAGTTCCAGAAATTGTAAGGCGAGAAATAATAATAAATTTTGTTTCAAATGCGGATGTCCTGATGTCAGTTCCAAAGACTGTATTCAATGTAAGGGAAACGCATAGCAAGGTTCAGAGTTTGCGGCTCTAATTCTTCTCCCCAATTTTGTAGAGCGTTCACAATTTTCTAGTGAATTCGTCGATAATTTTTTTGATCAGGTTGATTGGAACAAATGGAAAAGTACTGTGAAATCTTTCTTTGAAAATAATAAAATAAAAGATGATATGGTGGCCCCAGTATTTGTGAATAGGGGTGAAGATAATAAGATAAGATATCTGTTGAAATGTTAGGTAAAAAGGTAGTGTGTCTATTAGATAGCGGTGCCAATGTGCCTTAAATACTTTGAAAAGCCTTGGTCTCGATATAAATACTTCATTTACAAGAATCATTACTACAGTTGATGGCTCGGAAAGAGGCGTTGAGGGCGATGTAGATATCCCTGTAAGATATTTTTGGAAATATTAGTGGGATGCAGTCTGGACCAATGAATTAATTAGATTTCTTCGTTATTTGTCGAGCTTTCGAAAATTTTTATTTTCTTTATCAAGACTAACTGAAAACATCGAATGGAACAATAATATTAGAATATAAATGTACATCAAATGAAATTGGTATACTAACAAACATGAAATTCTATATAAAATCAGCACAAAAAGGAAACAGGTGTATAAATAAAATGAAATGATTTGACAAAAAAATGTCATAGATGATGGTTGACTCATTTGAAGATGTTGAATACAGAGTGAGATGAATACTGATATATATAAAAATACTGATATATAAAAAATGTTCGTAGCTTCCCCTTGTTATCCCTGTAGGAATAGATGTTATTATACAGATCATTCCTATTTTAGTTGTTCCTTTCCTGCCTCATGCCTTCATATTAGGTAGTGATTTTTGTAATCAATTCCAACTGAGCATTAATTTCAGTAATAAAACTTGGGATATCCATAGTGATGTCACTGATTGTAGTATCCAAGTAATTGTAGGGAGTATAAAATCATCAGATATTTCAGATTTGTTTAGGTTAGATGAATTATCGTCAGAGCAGCGGTAAGGAGCCAAAACAGTAATTAAACCATTTGAAGAAGTGAGTAGTGATTCTCGTTTAGGCCTCACGAATAATATAACTTCATCTATTGAGACAGGCGAAGCCAAACCTTTCAGAGTAAAACAATATTTTATGTCCCCTTACATGCTCAAAATTTTACAAAACGAGTTAGATGCTATGATAAAGCTTGAAGTTGTGGAAGAGTCACATAGCCCTTGGAATAGTCCTATCATTCTAGGGAAAAAGTCTTCTGGTGAGTTTAGGTTTTGCTTTGATGGTAGGGAACTCATTGAGATCACTAAGCACGATAGCTATCCTCTCCCTAGAATTGATCTAATTCTGAATCAATTAAGAGACGCGGAATACATTTATAGTATAGACTTGCGCAAAGCGTTTTGGCGAATTCCATTGGATGAGAAACAAGGGAGAAGACAGCCTTCAGTGTACCTGGTAGGGGACTGTTTCATTTCTTTGTTATGCCTTTTGGCCTCTGTAATAGCGCCCAAACGCAGCAACGTCTCTGCGATGCGCTTTTTGGTCCAAAGTTTGAACCTAATATATTCACCTATCTCGATGATATCATCATAACTTCGGCCACTTTTGATGAACACTCATCGATATTTACCAAGGTAAAGAAAATCCTGGAAGAAGCAAATTTAACAGTGAATTTAGGGAACTGCGAATTTTTCAAGACTTCTCTGAAATATCTAGGTTTTGTAATTGATATGCAAGGCATCCGGACTGATCCAGACAAAGTAGCGGTGATGATTAACTACCCCCGACCTACCACGAGTACAGAGATAAAGAGGTTCACAGGTTTATGTTCTTGGTATCGAAGGTTTATCAACAGCTTTTCAACTTCAATGGCACCCATCAATGCGCTGTTGAGGGGAAAAAAGAAACGGCAGTCTATCCAGTGGACCCCAGAAGCAGAGGAATCTTTTCTTAAAATTAAGAATGCCCTGGTTTCGACTTCAATTTTGTGTCCTCCAGACTTTTCAAAACCCAAAACCATTCGTGATCCAATGTGATGCTAGCGATGTTGGTACTGGGGGAGTGTTGACCCAAGACATCGAAGGCCATGAACGCGTCATTGCGTATGCTTCTCGCTCCTTGTCGCGGGCTGAGAGTGACTACACTGTCACCGAAAGGGAGCTACTCAGTTTGATCTTCCTCATCGAGAAGTTCCGTCCTTATATCGAAGGGGTAGAGTTCAAGGCAGTAACGGACCATAGCAGTCTCCTGTGATTGAACAATTTGAAGGACCCTTGTGGTAGACTCGCGAGATGGGCAGTTAAACTACGACAATATTCGTTCCAATTGGTGCATAAGAAAGGTTCTGCCAACATAGTTCCAGATTTTTTGTCTCGTATCACCCCGCAGGATGGTACGGAAGATGAGTCTGTTCCTAGCAACTCACACCAAGTTTTACTTGTTGATATTGCCACAGACGACTCCGACAGCTGGTATGAGAAAATGTTGATAAATATCTCTGAGGACCCGGAATCTTTTCCACAGTGGAAAGTAGAAAATTAACTCTTGTATAAATTCATCCCCACAAAATTACCTCTTCAGACGAACGCAGTAGAGTGGAAGCTCGTAGTCCCCAAGTCGCAGCGCAAGGAAGTAATCAGGCAACACCATTATCCTCTCACCTGTTCTTATTTTGGTTTTTACAAAACGATGTCTCGTGTTCAACAGCTGTACTACTGGTCAAAAATGAGGCAAGACATCATGAGGTTTGTGCGTTCTTGCAAGGTTTGTCAATCGCAGAAAATGCCAAACACTGCTCAAATGGGTTTGATGGAAAATCAAAAATCAGCGAGATTTCCATTTCAGATAGTTGCTGTCGACATAATGGGGCCCTTTCCTCGTTCTCCCAGAGGTTTCTGTTTTCTGCTCACTGTTTGTGATTGGTTCACTAAATATACCCTACTATTCCCTATGAGAGACGCCACTGCCGGAAATGTCATAAAATTAATGAAAAATGGAGTTTTTCTGGTTCATGGGGTGCCCCAATTTATCATTTGTGATAATGGACAACAGTTTGCTGGAAAAGCTTTCAAGAAGCTTGCTACCGAGTATGAGGTACAGAAAATATGGTATACGCCCCGCTATTCCCCACAATGTCATTTTGTGAAGAGAAGCAGCAAGAAGATTGGTCGGGCTATTTGTAGTTACATTGTTGAACACAAAAACTGGGACAAGGAAATCCCAAAAATCCAACAGGCTATAAATACCTCTTTCCACGAAGTCCATAACAACTATCCTCCAGGTCTTTTAAATTTTGGTAGGCATATTCCTCTTACAGAAAAATATTATTGAACTGTATCTAGTACAGACGGTTACGACATTTCAACTCCAGATAGAGAGAGTTATTTAGGAAATATTTCAGGTTTGTCTAATGTGTTTAAGGAAGTGCAAGAAGAATTAGATATTGCATATCGGAAAAATGCTGGAGTCTATAATCTCAGGAAAAGAGATATCCCCTTTAATATAAACGATAAAGTATATGGAAGAAATTAGGTACTGTCTGAAGCAGCGGCTAAGTTCAGTGCAATACTTGCACCTAAATATATTGAGAGTATTGTCAGAAAAAAGGTATCTAGATTGGTCTATAATTTAAACAATTTAGATGGATCTCCAGCAAGAGATTGGCACATTAAAGATCTGAAACCCTGCTGTGGGTCTAATTCAGATGTGTCAGTTGGGTAATTCATAAGTGGATGATTTATATGTCGACATATTCTGGAAAAATATATTATTTCGTGTGATATAATGCATACATGCGTTAAGTCTCTGAAATTTTTTTTTTTAATAGTACTCACCATTTTCTCAACCCTGTACTAGTTTTCTTTGGCCAATAAACTAGCAACGAATGTAGCTTCGTTTATTATCCAGTTCAAGCTAGAAAGCTACCAATTGGATATTCATGTTCACCCCTCCAGTTCCTATCACATAGGTCATTTTGTGGAAGATTTTCTCTGACTAAACATTAACCGAATTTGTAAACTATAAAAACTGACTACCCGATTTTGACTCCATTTTTTCATATGTGTTGTACGCATAGATACAAATCCCAAAATAACCCGGACTGCTGAAAAAAAAATTGATCCACTAGTGGAACAATTTTTTTTTTTCAGGAACAGGGGATGTGTGACGTTCAAATTGTACATTCTGATTATTTTCATGTTCTTGGGTGATATGTGATAATTTTTTCAATTATATAATTAGAAGTATAGGGTCAAATAATCTATTAATCATATCAGGCACTCAATTTCAATTCATTTCCTCCGAAGACATCATCTCATTCAATTGCCAGTCAACACAGCAGACATCAATGGTATATTGTCGGTTGCCTACTCATTCTCAAATCAAGGAATCAACCAATTTAGGAAATATATATGATAAAAATTTCATAAAAACCAAAAATAATGATAACAATTATGTTAGACTGACCGACTTGTAGTGGAGGGATTGGTCGATTCACTTACTTCGACAATGCAATGGTTCTAGAAGATACACCATTTTGTTTTACAACTCGGGTTTCCTCTTCAACAAAGGAACAGACATTCCAGAACAGTCGCGGATCGTCCTGGATCATGACGTAGTTTCCCTTTCCGGGAAGTACTATAATAGTGGTTTTCAGTGCCGGTTGGAGCACTTTCGATCTGGTTCTTGAGTCAGCAGTATGCTCGAATTTTTTTGTTAGTGGTTGGTGAGGACTTTACAGGATATTCCTGGATCCAGAGATCGGGTCCCATGCCAGGACATCGATAGCTCCATTTTCACCGCACTCAATCGAGTCAACCTAGAATTTTGGAATTGACCTGGAAGCCTGCAGCCGCCCAGGATATCGCACATCGACACGTGGTCTGCTCTGGAACGTGCTCTGCTACTGCTGTTTCTGAGGTGTTGGAAACCCTTCTCAGAAGGTGAGACTTGATTCAAAGTTATCTCCAACGTCCCACCATCTAGGTTTTCTATTGTATACTGGACCTTTTTTTTTTGGTCATAGGGTTTTTCGTTAGGGTTGAATCCCTTCAAGTTCATCCGTCCTCGTATCTCTTGGTTGGACTGGATTCTGGGTCATATATACTCCCACTTTCAAGATTGTGCTTGTCTGGATGTCGCCATCATTAGGTAACACTCATCACCTAGGCTCCGAAGGCTCCTCCACCATCGACGACTCATGGCTCTCAAGTGATGGTCGACCATTGCCGTTTTTTCTGAGATTGTCATCAGGAACACCGTCCGGGAGAGATCTCCTGGGTCTATACATCGAGGAATGTTTGGGGTAGGTCACGTGGTTGTATGAACGTAGTGGGTACGTTCTTAGGGAGAATGCTGCAGCAATGAAAATTCCGATAACCATTTAACAGTTATCTATGCTATTATCATATTATATTATATTTCGGGTATATTTTTTTTCTTGGTGACAGGTCAGTTTCCTTATGCAGGTTGGTAATGTGAAATACTGTGTATTGCTAATTTTTTTATATATTATCATTGTTACGACTTGATACCGCTGAAACATAGTACTATGTGGACGCCAATTTAAGTGAGTTTCGATATCACAATACATAATATTATCATGCAATACAGGAAATTGATGATCAATTTTCTTGAGAGAATAGATGTTTCAATTTTTTGTTAAATAGCTGTTTATTCATAAGTTTGCTGTAGTGTTTTCCATACCTTGCTTGTTATTCTCCATAATTTCTGTTTTCTTCTCAAACCTCAACCTGTAGGATTTCACTGACATATTATCGCCCCTTTATTTTGGATACAATGAGATTTAACCACACTATATATTATTATTTATGCATATCCTATGACAATAAATAAGTACCCCATGAGTAATCGTTGATACTTTGATATTTAACAACACTGTATATTTGATCAATACACTTTCCAAGACTATTATATAAATATTTCATTGATATCTTCGGTACATTGAAATTAAACAACATTGTATATTATCAATATGTTTCTCATGAGTATAACACGAATTCCCATCAATAATCTTGATGCATTAAAGTCTATCAACACTGTATATTCTGCGATAATCGTGACTATATTCATTGATTTTGGTGAAATTTAATAGGACTCTGTAAGTAGATAAACAAGGTCTATTCTAATATCAAGATACTAGAATCGACCTATGTGTTATTTGATACTAGGTCGATTCTACTATCAATGATCTATCCAACAGCCTCATGTTCCATTTGATCGTAGGTCGATTCAAACATCAATGATCTTATGGTTTTTGGATACTAGAATCGCTCTATATGTTCTGGGATAGACAATGTCGATTCTAATATCAAGATACTAGAATCGACCTATGTACATTTGATCCTATAGGTCGATTCAGAGATCAATGATACTAGAATCGACCTATGTGTTATTTGATCCTAGGTTGATTCACAGATCAATGATACTAGAATCGACCTATGTATTATTTGATCCTAGGTCGTATCAAACATCAATGATCTCAGAACAGCCTTATGGTTTCTTGATACTAGAATCGCTCTATATATGTTTTATGGACATATGGTTTTAATATGGAAATTCTTGCGATCTCAGGATCAGGTGGTGAAGCATCTCAGAAATGAGCCGGGGAGAATTCTCCTGCTTGTCACAGTATCAAGTATTCTGAGACCCGCTATATTGATTGCAGTACTCAGGGTACTGAGAACATACCTGCCATGGTTCAATTATTTTTGAGGTATTAGTTGATAGGCATTTCGTTCGATTTCAAGGAGTACTGTAGTATTCAAGAAAATACTATCTATAGGGTACTACCTACTATGTTCCATTTCTTCAATAATAATAAATCATTATTGCCATGAATGCAAGAGCTAAATCCAGCGGTATATCGAGCCGTTGAACTGAATTAAGTGGATAACGGTTTCAAGAGCGACGCGAGGCAAGGTTGCTTTCACTTTCATATTCCATATGTTTCGAATTTAATCACTGGAAGATTCGGACAGAGATGCATTTTGTAGTGGCCAAGGTACATTCAAAGCACTCATTTGTTTTTGAATCCATAGTTGGTATTTTTGGGTGATAATTTTGTGTGGAATCAGTGGTTTTTCATTGCGATATTATGAAGTTATAGTGAAATACAGGAAGAAAAGACATTGCTTAAGATACCGTTTCAGGTATTTTCTTAATGTTGGCTTACTATTGAAATATGCAGTTGAAGTGAAATGCAGAAAGAAAAGATTAGTGCTTGTGGCAAACTTTCAATATAAAAGGATGAAATTATCAAAAAGTCAAACACATTTGCTATCGGCAGCTGTACATCGGAGAACAGATAAGTGTGTTCGAATTATAGGCTAGATGGTGAAGAAAATTCAAGTTTTTGGACGCCACTCAATTTATAAAAATCCTACAATTTGGATAATTGAGAAAACCAAATTTCTTTCCAAATAATCTGCTTTTCAAAAATCTGAAAGTTGTTCAAGGTATATTTTCTTAGAAGGCTGGGCTGGACATATGGAAGAATGAAAACCAACATAAAATTCAAGACCTATTATATTTCACACCACCAGAGACAAGGTTATATATGGACCTATGTAGAGGCCTGCAGTTTCATGATGAAAAATAATCACTAAAGTACTGTATTATTTCAATAGTGTAGGTTAAGTAAATTGCATGGTGATTCTATCATAATTTTCCTACCTATACCAGGACAATTACCATATTTTTAGAATAAGTAAAAATAAGTATAGTAACAATCCTATATCAACTATAAAACGGAATGTATAACTAGTCAAGGAATGATAGCGCAATGAACTGTTAAGCAACCGCAGTCACATAGTATACTATGGAAGAGCTTCACAAGAGCTTCACCAGTTTGTGAATTAATACCGTAAAAAAAGTGATTACTCAACCAGTCTCAGATGTGAGAAAAATGTAGATAATTATGTAGCAAAATGTGAAACACTGAAGGTGGAACAAAAAAACCTGATTGTGGTCCAAGGGTCCTCTGCAATGGTCCAGATCACCCCTATCCAAGGTTTCAAGTGGTATGAGTGTAGATGTGCAGCATAGGTCACTGCAGATGAAGACAACACAAACGAGGAATACTGAACCTCCACGGTCAGCAGAGTTCCAGGATGCAGTGTCACCAGGAGTCAGTCTCTACCAGCTGCTACTGGGATCCATCTGGTCAAGATCCGAAGACCTTGCAGGATTACTCAGATTCACTGGGGGATCTTGACAAGGGTAGAGTAGAGTCTCCTGAGGGCCGGTCGCTACCAGGAGTCCGAAGCACAGCTAAGCTGCACCCTAGCACCCTATGAAATAATCTGAATATAGCCTCCTGAGAGGGTACACAGAGCACGTGGAGACAACAGAAAAAACTGAAGAACAGGATATTATATTTTCGTTTCACTGCTGAATCTGCTATGGCTGTGACTTACCTTCTGAGAAGAGAGGTAGGATTGGAGAATTTTTAGATCTTGCTTTTTAAGGACTGAAACAGGCCAAGCTGCATGGCTTCTAAAACTTCATGGCAGTCTCCAGGAACAAATCCCACAATTGGCTTCCTGACGGAGATTCCATCCACTAACCGGTAAGCAACGGCTTCCCAAAAATCAAATACCCCTAAGGGTTTCTACGGTTCTCACCGGGAAAATCAAAATCACTTTTCACAGGTCAAGTGCACGCCACCATGGCTAACCGAGGAAAAGTGAGGCAGCTACGTGCCGGAAATTCTCCTACCCTCAATTTAACTAGTCAAAAAACCATAGTTTCCTGTTAAAATCCCAAATTAGCGCCAAATATGAAATCCAAGAATCCTATTAGTCGAAGAAATGCTTACGCCCTAATTATCAAGAAGAATTGTTCTTCTTCTTCTGTCTTCATAGGAATAATCTCCAAATCCTTCACAGGAGACAAATGACAGTCCAAAATGACTGCAGTATGACAACAGTGACAGTGACATCCTGATGACACATGAAAATATGAACCTGAAATATTATCCCAAAAATATACAGAGAAATTCATCCAAATTGAAACCAATTCAGAATGAACAACATCATAAATCCTGAGATATTGCAGCGAAATAGGATTTATCGCCCTGGAGAACATCAACGGTAAGTTGTCTGTCTACTTTTGAATGGATTACAATATTAAATATTTCCTTCGATTCTAGGGCCTTCGGATCAGAACGCCAGAAATCAAAGACTCTTGCAGCTTACATCATCACTTCCTATAGCACATAGAATATCAGAAGAAATGAGTACTCTACTATTGGAATTTGTTTGTTGAAAGATCTCATTTAAAACTGTGTGTGATATGATATGGTTGTTTAATTAAATGTTCTATTACTCAAGGATTATTTACTATATGTCAGATTGAATGTTCACTGTGAGTATGGTTTCTTCTCAAATTCATAAGGTAAGAATTTGAAGACTATGTTTATTACACCAAAGAAAAATAAAAACAAATCTTAGCACACCACAGTGCTACTCTACTGTAATTTGATAAGTTTCATCAAAATAATTAGCTAATATCATCTTGTAGCAAATTCAAATGCTACATATGCCCCTCTCCTAAGAGAAAAAATTGGTCAACTTGTTGAGATATTTTTGATAAGGTATATGGGATATCTTGGATTATGATAGTAACTTCGTGTACTAACCGTTCCTTTTATGGAAATCCAAAAATTGGTAATGTCAGAATTGAGGAAAGTCTGAATCAGGTAAGGTCATAATCAGTAGGTAAGGTCATAATTGGTAGGTCAAATCCATTATCCTCAGGATCATGTGAAGTCTAAATTGTACTTTTTACAAAAAAAATATTTACATAAGTGGCAATGATGATGTTCAGGTTGATCAGACCTATGAATCATTAAAAAAAAAAAAACTATTTTTAAGTATGCTTACTCTCAGTAGAACACTAAATCCAATATAAGGTTTTATACTGAAAATCCCAAAATAAAAAGAAAACCACCCAAGGTTTCTTTCAAATTTGCACCAGCAAAATTTGTCAAAAAGACCAAAATCGTAACTGCAATTACCTTAATTTTAAACGTGCACCAACGCACCAAAATAAAAATCTCAAATGTGCACCAACGCACCCAAAAAAATTTCACAAGAATCTTATTTTTGAACAACCTCTACAGATAATACTGTATACAAATCAAAGGTTCTGGTTTGTATAAAAATAAAATTTCTATCCAAAAGGAACGTCTGAATTGGATCCAAAATATTCCTTTAAATCTTTGATATGCCAATCTCCAGCGGGAGAACCATCAGCATTATCTAAAGAATAGACTAAACGAGAAATTCTTCTTCTCACTGTACGCGAAACATATTTGGGAGCTAATTTTGCGCTAAATTTAATTGAAGCATCGGATAGAAT